GCCTTCTCTACTGTTGAACTGCCCCTCTCCAGGACACCTACCTGGGGTCAGATGCCTCTTCTGGGCTCCCAACACCCCCAGGCATCCCCAGTATAGCACAGCAAACTCCAGGTTGCTGTGGTCTCCAGTCAGTTCTGTGTCCCTCTAGACTGTGTGGAGGGGGAGGCATGGCTGCCCTTTCAAAGACAGAAATGGAGACTGAGAAAGGGCAAGGACCAGGGTGACAGAGGGGCGGAGCTCAAACAGCAATTACCAAGAACTCTAATACAGCTGACTCCCACATGACACTTCCTGTCTGCTTGGCACAGCCTGGTCTCAGGGCTTTACAAATACTAATTCACTTCTTGTTCATAATGACCCTCTAAGGCAGGTAGAGGCTGAGCACCACAGAATTGATGCTTTTGAACTGTGGTGTTGGAGAAGACTCGACAGTCCCTTGGACTGCAAGGAGATCAAACCAGTCAATCCTAAAGGAAATCAACCCTGAATATTCATTGGAAGGACTGATGCTGAAGCTCCAATCCTTTGGCCACTTGATGTGAAAAGCCGTCTCATTAGAAAAGACCCTGATGCTAGGAAAGATTGAAGGCAGGAGAAGAAGAGGACGACAGAGTATGAGATGGTTGGATGACATTACCAACTCAATGGACATGAGTTTGGCAGGCTCCAGGAGATGGTGAAGGAGAGGGCAGCCTGGCATGCTGCAGTCCATGGGGTTGCCAAAAGTCGGACAAGACTGAGCCACTGAACAACAAAAACAAAGGCAGGTACTAGGATTACCCACGTTTTTTACAAATGAGGAAACCTGAGACACAGAGCTTAAATGTCTTTCTCTAGGTCGCACAGCTTCTAAAGGCAACTAAGGATGTGAATTAACAGCTTCCTAACACTTCCCTGTGTGAGGCCTTCACTTTGCAGAAGAGGCCACTTAGGGCTCAGGCAGTCAAAATCAGCCACGGTTGGGAGGGCAGGCGCCAGAACCCAGGCCTCAGAGCACCCGAGTTGAGTGCGGGCAGTGGCCGGAGAGGCCTGATGCTTCTCAGTGCAGCCAGCTTGCCCCTTTGCCTGTGACCATCTGTCTTAGCTTCCTCGTCTAGAACACTGGGCTTTCCTCCCTCCCAGGACTGTTGAGAGCACTTAATCAGCTGAAACCAGGAGAGGGTTGTGAACAGTGCTTGCCACACCTGCGGACACTCAAGCCTTGTTCTTATCATCTTCTCTCCTCTCACCTCCCTGCTCCCCAGCTCACCCTTTTTCCAGATCCAACCCCAAGGAAGGGCTGAGCAGGGCTGACATGGGTGGGGTGCGGGGGCTGGGCCTGTGGCTTGGCAGCTGCCTGGGGTCACAAGTCAGGCGTGCCTCCCTTGACACAGCTGGTGGGGTCTGGGCCAAGTCCGTCAGCCCCACCTAAGCTTCTGGGACCCTGAACCCAGAGCAGCCTATTCTCCGCCTTGGAAGGAAAGGTTCAGCCTTCAGGCCATTGTCCAGATGAGAAAAGGAAGCCTGGGAGGTGGGTGGGGATAGGTCATCCTCTCTCAGAGTGGAGGGGGTGCAGCTTTGTTTATACACAGTTCTCTGCGCAGGGAGGCCCTCCCTCCATCTCGGAGACGGCCGGATCCAATCTCAGGACCAAATGCCAGCTCCCGAGGAAAGGTCTCTTCTCCCAAATGGGTCTCCGTCCTTCTCTTCAGCTCGTGGCGCGCCTAAGAATCCCCCGTGAGGCCACCAGAGCTTCTTCTTTTTTTTTTTTTTCCATTTATTTTTTACCACCAGAGCTTCTTAATGTAGGATCCTGGAGGTGCAGGAGTTCCCCAGCAGCTGGGGGCGGAGGAGGCCATTCCCGACCAACCACCCAGCTGGGACAGGAGCGTGGCGTGGCCGGTACTCTGGCCCGCTGGAGTATGGTCCACGTGGGGTCCCGGGAAAGCCGTCAAACATAATAAAACTGAGCAATCACCGGGCCAATAGAGCAGATGGGGAAACTGAGGCTGGGAGCTAGGGAGTCGCCCGGGTCAGAGCTTTCCTGGCTTTCGGGACAGGGCTGCCTCATAACCTGGGTGTGCTCATCGTTAGTTCCTGGCAGGAAGGGAAAAACCTCCTCCGCGTTGGGGAACGCGCGCTGCTGCTCAAAAACCAGTCCCCAGCAGTCCACGCCGAAGTCCCGCTTTGCGGACTACAAGTCCCGGCAGGCCCCGCGCCGCGGCGCACGCGCAGCGGGGCGTGCTCGCGGGCGCCCACTGAGTGCCAGGCAGGGGCGGGGGCGGGCGGTGTGAGGGTCGTCCATTGGCCGAGCGGCGCGTCCGTCGGACAGCCCCGCCCCGTGAAGGCCCCGCCCCGCCGCGCCCGCGCCTGGCTCCCGCCCGCCCGCGCCTCAGGACCGGCGGGGCCGCGCGGCGCATCCTGCGGGCGGCGGCGGGCGGCCGGGCGCAAGATGATGAAGTTTCGGTTCCGCAGGCAGGGCGCAGACCCGCAGCGCGAGAAGCTCAAGCAGGAGCTCTTCGCCTTCCATAAGGTGCGGCGGCGGGCCGGGGGCAGCTGGCTGGGGACGGGGGCGGGGGCCTGGCCTGAGCCACGTCGGGCCGGGGGAGGGGGCGCACTCCGGGCCGGGCAGCCAAGCTCCGCTCTGCCGGAGCCGCGCGCCTGCATCCCTGCCCTCCGCTCCTCCGCTCCTGTCTCCGCGCCTCGGAGTTCGCTGCCCTCTCCCCGAGGGGCCTCTCCGCCTCCGTGCGGCTCTCAACTCTCGCTGTGGCTCCACTCGCTGCCTCTTTATCTCTTTCTTGGGGACCTCGCCTCCCCTGCGCAGCCCTAGGGCCCGATTTGTTTTGCTTTCGTACCCAGGCCGGTGGGGAGGAGTGCTGAGTGGGGGAAGATGTTGGGGGGTGGGGCTGGGAAATCCCTTCCCGGTTCCTCTCCTCCCTTCCCCCTCTGCCTGGGACTCCCGCCTGAGCTGTGCCCGGCCTGCCCGGGGCTCCAGGGGGGATGCCTGGCCGTGTAACCAACTGCACTTCGAATCCTGGGGTCTCAGTTTCCCTTGCGATGAAATGGGGCCACTGTCTTCCATGCTGCGGACTCTGTCGCAGGGGGCAGCAGACCCACCGCTTCTGGAGCCTTGGCGGAGGTGGGGGTGGAGGGCTGCTCCTTCCTTTCTTTACTGGGTAGGGCCAGAGGGGCCACGGGAAAGGGGCTGCCTTCAGCCCCGCCTCCGTGCGCTGGTGTGTGTTTGAGAGAGGCCGGGCCTGGCCCTTGCTAACTACCCCCAGGGGTGTCACTTCTGGCCTCAGTTTTACACCCAAGCCCTCTGATCACATGCCCCCTTGCTGCTCTTGGGGCTTCGAGTCGTTAAGCTCACATGCGGGTGAGAAAACTGAGGTTCAGCTCTGCCGAGCTGGCCAGAGACAGAGTGAGCGGGCGCTTGGTCTCTGTGTACCCTTGTCAGTGGGATTTGACTTCAGCCTTGAGAAGCCAGGGCCCCTTGGAGGGGCTGCTGTAGGTACCGAGTGGCAGCCAGGAGACCCTGGTCCAGGGAGACACTCTTTGGGCGCTGCTCCTGCACTGGCCGAGGCCGGGACGTTTCTCAGGGCAGGCAGGGTTTCCCAGGTGCCAATAGAGGGTGCCAGGATCCTCGGGTTTGGTGGCCAAGGGGCCCAGAGGGGAGGCTAGTGCCCAGGGGTTCCCAGGTGGCCCCTTCCTATGCTGAGTGACTGAGGGTGAGCCCCTCGAGGTGAGAGGACAGCGTTGTGGGGCAGGTGTCGTGCTAAGGTGTCACTTCCTCAGCCAGGGAGTCGAGGTGTGAAGCGGGGGCCCCAGAAAGGTGGAGGGGAGGTGCTCCCCCATCTGGCCTCTGGTGGCAGAAGCTGGGCTCCCTGCTAAGGCGGGCGAGGCCGCATTCTGAGTGGGCAGCAGTGGTTGGGGGGGGGTGGACTTAGGCAGAGGGTCACTAGAGGGACTGGCAGGTGATCACTAGAAAATAGGTCCCAGGGACTTCCCTGGTGGTCCAGTGGTGAAGACTGTGCTTCCACTTCCTGGGGTTCAGGTTCAATCCCTGGTCCAGGAACTAAGATCCCACCTGCCGTGTGGCAACACCAACAAGCAAAAACAAAAAGCCTCAGATTCCCAAGTGGCCAGGGTTGGAGGGTGGTCAGGGTGAGTGTGGACTTTGGACTGTCTTGGGTCCAAATCCCAGCCCTGCCCCTGGTTCCTGTTGTGTGTCCACTCTGTGTCATCTTCACACGTACTGCCTTGGGGGGCCAGTGTCCTAGCTGGGGAGATAGAAGACAAAACAGGGAGTAGGGTTTGCAGCTGGCAGTAGCTGGGCTGGTGGTCAGTGCAGTGGAGGAAGTCAGGCAGGTGAGGGTGTAGAGGGGCAGCTGCTGAGCCAGTGGTTGTCTCCTGAGCTGGGGGAAGGCTTCACAGTGCAGAGGGCACATGCCAGGTAGAGGGACTGTGGTGGGTGTGCAGGTCCTGAGGCAGGAAGCTTCCATGGTGGACTGGAGGAGAGCGGAAGGCCAGCAGCCAGGGGTCCATGGAAGGGAGGTTGGAGAGGCCCAGGTGGTAAGGACTAGGCTTTGACTTGGAGTGAGCTGGGGGTCCTCGAGGGTCCTGAATAGAGGAGCAGGCCGCAGGACCTGGTCAGGTCCAGGGTGGGCACGGCGGTGCCAGTGTTTGCCATCCCCCCCAGTCCAGAGGTCCACTCTGTCCTCAGGTGGGCTCCCCGGTGCCTGGATGGGAAGCTGAGGCTCGGACAGTGCTGTGACTTGCCCAAGGCCGAGGCAGCTGCTCAGACGACTCAGTCCTTGCCTGGATGGGCTGGGGCTGGAGAAAGACACAGGCCTCAGGGGACTAGGGGTTCTTATAAAACCTGTGTGTTGATGATGCAGTGGTCAGAAGGAACTGGCAGCCACATGTGGTATCCCACCTTGGTATTGGGGGCTGGGGGCCCAGGGGTGCAGGCTTCTGGGGAGGGCTCCTAACCAGGCCTCGGGGTTGACTAGGGGCTCCTTGTGTCGGTGGGCAGGTGGGGGAACTAAGGCTTTGCCAGGAGCAGGGGACTCGGTGGGAACTGTTCCACTGATACCCCCAGTGTGTAGCACTGCCTACTACCCTGACCAGGGATGGGTGGGAACCATGTCCCCCAGTTTCCAGGTCGGAAGCTGAGTCTGGGAGGTGCATGACAACTTCAGGGACTGGGCAGGAAGCACCCTCTGTCTGGGCCCCCCTCTTCCTGTCTCTGGGGCTGGGGTGGGGAGCAGCCCTAGTTCGGGGGAGTCAAGAGCCTCTGCCTAGCCAACCTTGGGCGTTGGTCTCTGACCGCCATGCAGAGCCTGTGTGTTGGGGGGGTACCACGAACTGCACCCTGCTTCAGTCTGCCTGGGTGAGTGGGGTGCGGAGCCCACTCCATGGGGCAGCTGGGGTTCGCATCTGTGCCCATGCATCCTCCCTTGTGAGCCCCGTTCTGTTTGTTGTCATGGACCCAAGTGTCAAGTGGGACGGGCCTTGGCTGGGAAGGCCTCTGGTGGGGCCAGGACTCAGGCCCTTCCTCACCCGCTGGAGGTGTGATCATCCATCTCGCAGCTGAGGACATTGAGGTCAGGGGGCTGGGCATGCAGCAGGGACAGAGCTGGAGACTGCCTTGGGTGGGCCTCGGGTGGGAGTTGTGCCTTGGAGATACCCCCGCCTCCCTGCAGACTGTGGAGCATGGCTTCCCCAACCAGCCCAGTGCGCTGGCCTTTGACCCTGAGCTTCGTATCATGGCCATTGGCACCCGATCTGGGGCCGTCAAGATGTATCCTTTGGGGTCGTGGCTAATGTGCGGGGCACCTGGGCTGGGCCCCTAGTGGCGGTTGTGCAGCTGCTGCCCTGAGGCAGCGCCTCAGAGACGAAGGGGTCCACAGCTGCCTATCGCTGCAGCCAGTTACCTTGGCAACCCTCCCGTTGTCCCAGCAGCTGTGACTGGGGAGGTGGGCCAGGACTGGCAGCACATGGTCCCTAGCAAAGGTGGCGGGAGGACCAGGGTCACAGCAGACCTTGCCCTGGGAACCGGGTGCACACACGTGTGCCGGCCTGAAGACGTGTGTCCAGCCGAGGGTTGGGGGCAGTGCCAGGCTCGGCGTGGCGAGCGCGGCGCGGCCCCCACCTGGATGCTGGCCCCGCACAATGGGCCTGTGAGCCGTACAAAGGGCCATTTTCCTGAGAGCTCTTGCTGGGGGGAGGGGGGTGACACAGCTGGATGCCTCCTTCCTGCTGTGGAGCAGCCCACCCCCGCTGCATGAGGTGAGCCCCCAGGTGGGGCCCAGGTGCAGGGTCTAGCTGGCCACTACAGGGGCAGATGGGGTCTCCCCATCCGGGACTCAGGGCACTGGCCAGGCAATTTTGAGTTTGCCAGCTCCAGGGACCAGGTAGAGGGGCTGGGTCTAGGTGCCCCCTCCTCCTCCGTGGACCCTGAGGCATCGGTGAGACAGGGAGGGGACGGTGCCCTGGTCGTCTGCCTCAGGCCGCTGCCTGCCCAGGAGTCCCCTCCCTGCCTGCTGCTCCTGCCTCTGGCTGCCGTCATGCCTGTGGGAGCTGTGGTCCCATGGCCCCTTCTCCCCGGCACAGTGTCTCTGCCGGTGGCAGAGCCTTTCTTGTGCATCAGCCCCTCATGCTGACAAAGGATGGGTGGCCAGACGGCCTCAGAGGAGGACGAGCCCCCCCAGACCACTCCTACCCATGCCCTGAGCTAGGAAGCTGAGGCTGGCCACAGGGGCCATCCCACCCCCCAGTCTGGCCTGTCTCCCTGGCGACCTGGTTCCCGCCCAGCACTCCTGCCCCTCTTTTGTCCCCTCGTCTGTGTTCTCCCGGCTCCAGCTCCAGGCAACGGCTCCTGCCTTGTCTCCCAGCAACGTTGCTGACCCCAGCCTAGTCCTCCCCCCCTGGGGCCCCTCAGCCTGCTGTCCACGGTGAAGCCTGAGGTTGCTGGGACACTGGCACTCACACCGGGCACTTGTAGCTAGGCATCCACCTCTCCAAGCCCCTAGGGCCTCTCCCCACTCAGTGGGGGCTGCCAGCCCCACAAGGACATGGGTTTCCTGGCCTTCAGCTGGCAGTGGCGTGTGGTTGTGGAGAGGCAGCCTGGACTCTGCTCTGCCCCGGGCTTCCTGAGCCTGGCCTGGCATCTCTGCCCATGATGCCGATGTGCCGGGCCAGCTCTTGTGCCCACAGATCCATGAGCCTGATATAGAGCTGTGAACTGGGCCTGGGCTGGGTGTGCCAGGACAGCTTGCGTTCTTGGTTGTCCTGCGTCTGCCCCAGGAGGCAGGCAAGCAAGTCACTGGCCGGTTTTACAGATGAGGAAGGGAAGGCCATACGGAGCACTGACTTGCAGGACCGAATGGGTCTGCATTCTGAGTACAGTGCTTCTTCTGAAGAGGAGTCCCCAGACCTGGGAGGGCCCCTGGACAGGGCTAGGTGACACCCCTCCCCGTGTCACCAGGGGCCCGTTACAGTGGTCCTGGGGAGGAGGGGCTAGGTGATCCCTGGTGTTGGTGTCTTGGCCTGTGCCTGCTTTCCACCCTTGACCCGTCACCCTCAGCTACGGTGCCCCTGGTGTGGAGTTCACGGGCCTGCACCGAGATGCAGCCACTGTCACCCAGATGCATTTCCTGCCTGGTCAGGTGAGCCTCGGCCCCGCTGCCGGCCCCCAGAAACCCCCCTGCCCCGCCCCCGACCCCAGTCAGCTCAGTCCTGGTCTTACTCACCCGCCAGGGTCGAGTCCTGACCCTGCTGGATGACGACAGCCTCCACCTGTGGGAAATCGTCCACCATGATGGCTGCGCCCACCTGGAGGAAGCCCTACGATTCCAGGCACCCAGTCGGCCTGGCTTTGACGGTGCCAGGTACCGAGGGGCTTGGCCGGCTGTGGCTGCCAGATGTAGTGGGGGGCCTGTGAAGGTGCAGTGGGGACAGGAAGCTGCCCCAGGGCTGGGACTTGGGGAGGGGTGGTGCACATCGGGCTGGGCCTGGGTCCAGAGAGCTGCTCTGTGGACTTTGTGGGCGTCAGACGAGAGTCCCAGGTGAGCCCAGGGTCAGCAGGGAGGGTCTGTGCCCTGGCACTGCTGGGGCCCAGGAGGCCCGGGGTGGGGAGGGTGTGTCCCAGAGCCTGGAGAGTGGCCTTGTGCCCCTGCAGCGAGGGGGGCATCTAGAGCAGGAACTGACAGCACCAGTCCTCCAGACCCTTGAACAGGGGCGGGACGATAAGCCCTACTGTGCGGGGAGGAGAGGGCAGGTCAGAACAAGGAGGGTCTCCCTGGGCTGTGAGGTGCTGGCAGGACGCCCCAGGCGGCAACAGCATGGGCTTCAGCCCTCAGTGGGAGAGTAAGGGGCCTTGCGGTTCCTGGCCCGCAAGCCTTTGTTGGAATGGCTGTGGCAAGTCTGACCAAGTCACAAGATGTCCATCCAGCTCAGAAACAGGCTTGTCCCGCTTGGGCTTGGACCCAGCGTGGATCCAGGGTGTTCGAGATCCTGTCGGGGAGTGATTGGGGGCCTCCTTCAGGGTCAGGGAGATGTCTTAAGGCATGGGGCTTCCTGGTGGGGCTCAGAGGCAGAGTCCTGGAGCTTGGGGTCCCTGCCCAGGCGGGGCCTGGTTCCTGCCGCCATCCCTTCTGGGTGGAGGGACGAGCTCCAGGGCCTGTCTCCAAGACCTGGGGACCTGTTTTTATCCCTCTCCCCACCGACATCTGGTGAATAATTGAGTGAGCTGGTTACGGTGTCTGCAGCCACCACCGTGGCCTTCCGGGGCGCCAGCCCCCTTCATGACCAGGGCCCAGCAAGACCAGAGGGGCTGCAGTGAGCTGACACTCTCGGGCCCCTGTGCCCTCCCCGGCAGGTGTGCGGGCTCCTCCCCTCACCTGCTTCCCCTTGGGCCCACAGCGGCCTGCCCAGCCTCGCCCACATCACAGTGGTCCTGCTGGTGGCTGCGGGTGACATGGCTGCCCTGGGCACGGAGGGCGGAAGCATCTTCTTCCTGGATGTTCCCACCCTGACGCTGCTTGAGGGGCAGACTCTGGGCCCGGACGAGGTTCTGCGAAGGTGAGAGGCCACCCGGCTTCCCTGTGCCCCCTCCACCAGCCCCCCCGCACCCCCCACCAGCTACCCCGCCCGCTTTCTCCTTCTGCTGTCCACAGCGTGCCTGATGACTACCGATGTGGGAAGGCACTGGGCCCCGTGGAGTCACTCCAGGGACACCTGCGGGACCCCACCAAGATCCTTATCGGCTACAGCCGGGGCCTGCTGGTCATCTGGAACCAGGCCGCTCGCTGTGCCGAGCGCATCTTCCTGGGGAACCAGGTGTGTGGGTGCGGCTGGTGGTCACCCGGGGCCTCTGCTCACAGCCGCCAAGCTCACGCCTGTCCCCCGCCCCACAGCAGCTGGAGAGCGTGTGCTGGGAGCGCAGTGGCCACACGGTGGTCAGCTCGCACAGTGACGGCAGCTACGCCATCTGGGCTGCGGACACCGGCGACTCCCCAACGGCGCAGCCCACGGTGGCCACCACGCCCTATGGTGAGTGTGGGGGACCTGTGTAAGGTTGGCTGTGACCCCAAACTCGGACTGGCCTCGGTGGGGGAACTTCAGGGGGGATGTGTGGAAGGTGGCAGGGCCAGGCCAAAGGTGAGACCACCCCCCTGCCCCATGTTGGGTAGCATGCCTTCCCCTTGGGATGCAGGCAACAGCTACCCGGTGGGGACGATGGAGGCAGGAGGGGGATGGGGAAGTGGCGAGAAATGCCATCCAGGGCCCTCAGGTCCCTGCCTGAGAGCCTGCAAGTGAGGCCAATGCTGTCCCCCCGCAGGACCCTTCCCCTGCAAAGCCATCAACAAGGTCCTGTGGCGAACCTGTGCGTCTGGGTAGGTGGGGCCTGCTCAGGGCCAGGGTTGTGGGAGGAGGCTCTTCTGGAGCCCCACCAGCTGCTCACATGGCTTCCTCACCCTGAGCAGCGAGCACTTCGTCATCTTCAGCGGTGGCATGCCCCGCGCCAGCTATGGTGACCGCCACTGCGTGAGCGTGCTGCAGGCCGAAACCCTGGTGACACTGGACTTCACCTCCCGTGTCATTGACTTCTTCACCGTGCATAGCACGCGGCCCGAGGATGGTGCGTTCCCGCCGCCCCCCCATCGCCCCCCGACCTGGCCCCCGTGCGTCTCTGGCTGCGCTCACCCACCCCGTCCCGCAGAGTTCGACGAGCCGCAGGCCCTCGCAGTGCTGCTCGAAGAGGAGCTGGTGGTGCTGGACCTGCAGACGCCCGGCTGGCCGGCTGTGCCCGCCCCGTACCTGGCCCCCCTGCACTCGTCCGCCATCACCTGCTCAGCCCACGTCGCCAATGTCCCCGCCAAGCTGTGGGCCCGCATCATGAGCGCTGGCGAGCAGCAGAACCCCCAGCCAGCCTCTGGGGCCTCGGTGTGTGCCAGGGGTGGAGGGAGTGGTCCCCCAGGGGTGCACTACAGGCTGCACCTAAGGAGGGGACGTGGCAGGTGTGGGTGGGACGCCTGCAGGGCCTTTGCATCCCACACATGACGCCTGGCGTGGCTTCTGCTTATACCCCTCTCCATCCCCCAGAGCTGGCCCATCACTGGGGGCCGGAACCTGGCTCAGGAGCCATCCCAGCGAGGCCTGCTGCTGACTGGGTAGGTGACACCTCTTCAGCTCAGTTGTGACGGGCGTGTGAGCATGTGTGTGTGTGGGCGAGCAGGGTCTGGTGCTACCTGCACAGGTGCGAGAAGGGCTGTCCTGGGCCTGGCGGGTGCTGACCTGCCCACTGACTCAGGCCTGGCCCCTGGTGGGACCAGGTCACCTTCTTCCATCGGGTGCACTAGGTGAAGCCTCCCTAGACTCTGCTTTAAGGCCCAGCCCTCCTTGATGAAACTGAGCTCCACCCACTCAGCCTGCCCCGGGACCGGAAAATCTGGGCCAGCCCACGCTGAGCTGCCCAGGGCAGGTGCCGGAGAGCCCGGCCTGGGCCTGGCGGGCGCCGACGTGCCCGGTGACTCAGGCCCCACCTTCTTGCCCAGCCCCTGCCGTCTGCCTGTGCCGGGACCCTCAGGCCTCTGGAGGTGTCCCAACCAGCCTGCAGACTCTCAGCTTCTCCCGCCCTGGCTCTGGGCTGCTACCGCCGCCCAGGGGCCCTGACCTGTAGCTGTGTCCTGGGCTGCACCCCAGATTCATCTGCTCCCCCTCTCTGCTTCCTCCTGGCCTCCCCAGGTTTCCTGCTCCTGCCCCAGCACACTCCTCTGTTCTGGGGGCATCTCTGGTCACGTGTTCTGGAGGCCCCCGGGGGGTAGAATCCCTGTGGTCCTCTGTCCCCTGTCATTGTTTCACACCTTTTCTCATTTCTGGTGATATCCCTGCACCTTCTCATCCTCCGCAGGGAAGGGCCCGGGTCTGGTGCCCTGGCGTACAGTAAGGTGCTCAGTACTTGCTTGTCCTATATAGTTGATGCTTCCTATTTGCTGTATGCAGTAGGAGTCCAGTCAGTGTTTGGCCTAGGTGCTGGGTGCCCAGTGAGTGGTTGCTGGCTGAAAGGATGTGGAGGGGTTGGGTGGGGGCCTGGGGCCTGATGTTGCCTCTCCGCAGCCACGAGGACGGCACAGTGCGCTTCTGGGATGCCTCCGGCGTGGCCCTGCGACCGCTCTACAAGCTGAGCACCGCCGGCCTCTTCCAGACGGACTGTGAGCATGCCGACAGCCTGGCCCAGGCCGCCGAGGACGACTGGCCGCCCTTCCGCAAGGTGCGAGCCCCCCACCCCCTCCTGGCCCGGGGAGCCTGGTCTGGGCTCTGCTCTGTGACCAGTTCCCCTCCCACCCCCACAGGTGGGCTGCTTTGACCCCTACAGTGATGACCCGCGGCTCGGCGTGCAGAAGGTGGCGCTCTGCAAGTACACGGCCCAGATGGTGGTGGCAGGCACTGCGGGTCAGGTGGGGCTGAGGTGTTGCCAGGGCTGTGGGGCTCGAGGGCTTCTGGCGGGTCCAGTAGGGTGCTAGAGGGGTCGGCCCAGCAGAAACCCACAGGTGGGAATGGGGGAGGCCAGCTGGGGCCTTGGCGACCCTCACAGGGTTGGGGCCCCGGGCCGGAGCACCCGTGTTACATGGACCCTGGGAGGTCAGGGCCTGCGTGTCTTGGTCACCACGGTGTTGCTCAGTGAGGGCCCTGGTATACAGTGGGCACCAGTCAGTGCTTATTCAGAAGATGCTCTCCAGATGCTCCTAGAAGCACCCTGGCAGAGGTGTCACTGGCTCAGGTGGGGTGGGGGCGCCCTGTCCTCCAAGCTGACTGCCCACCCACTCCCCCAGGTGCTGGTGCTGGAGTTGAGTGACGCGCCGGCAGAGCAGGCGGTGGGCGTGGCCAGCCTGGACCTGCTGCAGGACCGGGAGGGCTTCACGTGGAAAGGCCACGAGCGGCTGAGCCCACGCCTGGGACCGCTGCCCTGGCCAGCTGGCTTCCAGCCCCGCGCGCTCATCCAGTGCCTGCCACCAGCCGCTGTCACGGCCGTCACGCTCCACGCTGAGTGGGGCCTCGTGGCCTTTGGGACCAGTCACGGCTTTGGCCTCTTTGACTACCTGCGCAGGAGCCCCGTGCTGGCCAGGTGGGTGTGAGCAAGCCCCTCCCAAGGTTCATGGGGTGCAGTTGGGGGCACTGCCGGCCTCATAGGACCCTGCTGGGGGAGGTCTGCCCCTCGGCCGCTGGACCCATGCTTTCCTGATGGCTGGCCTGCGTCCCCAGGTGTACCCTGCACCCCAGCGACTCCCTGGCTATGGAGGGGCCACTGTCCCGCGTGAAGTCGCTCAAGAAGTCATTGCGCCAGTCCTTCCGGCGCATCCGCAAGAGCCGTGCGTCGGGCAAGAAGCGCATGGTCGCTGGCAGCAAGGTGGGGCAGCAGGCAAGGCGGGCAGGGTGATGGGGGCGGGGGGCAGGATGGTGGCCCAACCTTGCGCCCCCCCAGTTGCAGGAGGCCAACGCGCAGCTGGCGGAGCAGGCTGGTCCCCAGGATGTGGAGGTGACGCCCGTGCAGCGCCGCATTGAGCCCCGCTCGGCCGACGACTCCCTCTCGGGTGTTGTGCGCTGTCTCTACTTTGCAGACACCTTCCTTCGAGATGGTGAGACTGGGCGGGGTGGGCAGCCAGGGGCGGCGTGTCCTTGGTCTTCTGGGAAATGGGTGATAGGGTGGACCCATGCCTTCTGGAAGCCTGGAAAACACTGTGTGCCTACGGAGTGCCAGCCTGCGCTGGCACCAGGGTGCCCTGGCCCCCAGCAGCTTCTGGAGCAACCCGATGGTGAGGCTCAGTGAGTGGGTGGGGCGGGCCTTAGACCTGGGCAGAGAAGGAAGCCCAGGATCTTGGGGAAGTACAGACCACAGCGCCAAGGCCTAGACGGACATGAGTTGCCCGGGCAGTGTGACTGGAGCAGAGGGCAGGCCTGGGAGGAGCCGGTTTTGACCCCAGGTGGGCAGAGCCCTGGCAGGTACTGCCCAGGGTAGTGGCGTGTTGGGGTTTATGGATGGAACCGCTGATCAATTTAACTTGGTAATGGGGCATTTCAGCCCTTCACCGACTCCCCAGCTGTTCTCCATACATTGTGTATTTTCTAAACACGATGTAAACACAATTTGAAACAAAGGTCACTGGGCAGCTCAGGGTGTGTCTGGTGGAGGTCACTTCTGGCACAGGGCCTGTGTCAAAACCCGGAATGTGGATACTGATGGCTGGGGTTCCCTGTCACCCTTGGCCCACAGGTGACCCCATTCATCTCAGAAATGCCTTCTTAGAGTTGGGGTGGGGTCAACGTCCAGCTCATGTGCACGTGGTATCTCTGCGTCTTTCCTTCTTTATCTGGGAGGGGAGCCCCCTACTTCTGATGTCATTTGTTGAGGGTCCCTTTGTCTGGGGGATCTTCCCACTGTCTGCATCTGGCAGCCTGGTGGGGCTGGGCATGACCTCGTTCCACTGTCTCTGTGAGAAGCATGGCTTCTTGTTGCTCACTTGTTTGTTGCTCGGGTATCCCCTCCCCCCCCAACTAAAATTGTTACTGAGGTCACCAGGCCATTGAGGGCGCACAGTATGACCGCCCGGTCCATCCGCACCCCAGTATTTTTTAGCTCACTGTCGACTCAAGGGCCTTCCCCTTCCTAAGGGAGTCGGACTGTGTGGTGTGCATCCCGGATGGGCCTGGGACTTGGTGCCTGGGTGCCCTGCGGGTGGGGCCTGAGTCCAAGTCTTTGTTGGGACTGGTGATGGGCCGAGTCACTGGGATGCTGGGAGAGGTCTGAGAGGTCAGGGTCCAGTTTGATGTACCTGTGGAGGGACCCTAGCGGTCACTCCTGTGCCTGCAGGGGTATCTAGGGGATGTAGGAGGAGAGACCCAGTCCAGGGTCCCAGGGCACCAGAGGGGAGGGATGGCACACACCTGCCTCACCATCCTGTCTCCCCGCAGCGGCCCACCACGGCCCCACCATGTGGGCAGGCACCAACTCGGGCTCTGTGTTTGCCTATGCACTGGAGGTGCCAGCGGCAGCAGTGGGCAGTGAGAAGCGGCCAGAGCGGGCGGTGGAGGCCGTGCTGGGCAAGGAGGTGCAGCTGATGCACCGTGCCCCCGTGGTGGCCATTGCAGTGCTGGATGGGCGTGGCCGTCCACTGCCAGAGCCCTACGAAGCCTCGCGGGACCTGGCGCAGGCGCCTGACATGCAGGGCGGCCACGCTGTGCTCATCGCATCTGAGGAGCAGTTCAAGGTGAGCAGTCTCTGAGACCCCTTGGAACTCTCGCCTCCTGGATGCCATTGGACCCTTGGCTTGCATCCATCCCTGCTCACTGGGACCTCCTGAGTGCCTCCAGCCATCGCAGAGGCACCTTGGGGAACCCTGGTGCCCCTCAGGACCCTTGAGTGCTCCCTTGTGTGGTCTGCAGGAGCTTGTGGTGTGGGGTACTGGCTTCCAGCTTGACCACCCAGTGTAACTGGCTTTGCCATAGGTGGAGGGGCCTTGGAGGTTTCTGGGCTGTGGAGCTGTGGTCAGGGTGGTGGCTCAAGGTGGGTGGTGCTGGGTGGAGGAGGTGGTGGGGCCAGGCTAGACTGGAGGCACTAGGGCGTGGACTGGCCCAGGCTCCGCTTAGCACCCACTCCCAACCCACCTCTAGGTGTTCACGCTACCCAAAGTGAGCGCCAAGACCAAGTTCAAGCTGACAGCCCATGAGGGCTGCCGCGTGCGCAAGGTGGCCCTAGCTACCTTTGCCAGTGTTGCCTGCGAGGACTACGCGGAGACCTGCCTGGCCTGCCTCACTAACCTGGGTGACGTGCACGTGTTCTCGGTGCCGGGCCTGCGGCCCCAGGTGCACTATGCCTGCATCCGCAAGGAGGACATCAGCGGCATCGCCTCCTGCGTGTTCACGCGGCACGGCCAGGGTGAGGCGGGCCGGTGGCTGCAGTCAGGGCTTCTGGGAGGTGGGGACATGGCCCCTTACTGTGCTTCCCGCCCCCTCCTAGGGTTTTACCTGATTTCCCCCTCGGAGTTTGAGCGCTTCTCCTTGAGCGCCCGGAACATCACCGAGCCACTCTGCTGTCTGGACGTCCATTGGCCCCGAGATGCCACACGGGTCAGGTGCATAAAGGGGTAGCCCCTGGCCAGGGGTTGCAGCGCTGGGACCAAGGCTGGGCTCATTCCGTTCTCCAACTCAGGAAGGAGCAGGGTGGCCCTCTCTGGTCATCCCTCTGGCCCCAGGGCTCCGGAATGGGAGGGCAGGGGTCTGGCCCTCGAGCCATGAGATGCCTGCCCACCGTCTGCAGCACAGCCCATCTCTGCAGCCACAGGTCCCGAGAGTCGCCCAAGCTGAACCAGGCTAACGGGACCCCGGGCATCATCTTGGCCCCACAGAGTTGTGATGGAAGCCCTGATCCCATCTGCAAGGGGGCTGGTGAGGAGGCTGCGCATTAGCTGGGCAGCTCGTCTCGTGGTGGTGGGGGTGCTCTGCAGGAGGCAGCTGCCCAGAGGGTCTGGGGAGGGGTTGGTCTGTGCCATGGTCCACCGTGGGCTGGTGTGGGACCAGGTCAAGTGTGGATGGGGCCTCGGAGCCCTAGAAGGACCCTGTTCACTTCCTCCCTGCAGACACCCCAGAGCCAGCTGAGGCCATGCTCTCACCTATGTCCATTGACTCGGCCACCAGTGCTGACACCACGCTGGACACAACAGGGGACATGACGGTGGAGGATGTAAAGGATTTCCTGGGGTGAGGAGCCAGCTGGGTCCACAGGAGGGGCTGGTCGCTCCCAATTTCCCTCCCTGACCCTTCAGCCAACCTCATACCCCAGCTGGGCACGAAGGACCAAGGAGGGCCTGACCCCAGATCTGCTGACCACTGCCCCTCCCTGCAGCTCCTCAGAGGAATCTGAGAAGAACCTGCGGAACCTGTCAGAAGAGGAGGCTCGAGCCTGCGCCATCCTGATCAAATGAGGCTGCAGGTGCGCAGCCTGGTGCCCTTGAGTCAGTACCTCCTCCAACCTCTCCCAACACAGACGCTGTGGCTCCTTCTGTTGCTGGGGTCACTGCTGCCCCCTCCCTAGCCTCGGGGTTCAGGCTGTCACTGCAGGACCCTAGCCTCCCATCCTGGAGACTGAGTGGTGGCATGCATGTGGCCAGGCCGCCTGCCCCGTTGGACCTCCCTGGCCTTCTGCTGATCTTGTTTCTCTCTGCTAGGGAGGCCAGAACTGCCAGGTCACCCCCACCCTGCTCGGAGCTGGAGCCAGGGGCCCAGTCCACCAAGTAGACCTGCACCTGCTAACTTCAGGCTCCTGTGGGGCCTGCCGGCCTGGCCCTGAGCCTCAGGGACTCCACCAGGCCCAGCCTTCAGGCAGAGGCCACCCGGGAGGTCAGGCGCCACAGGGGAGGCCGCAGGGCCCACGGCTACCACCTCCCAGGCCATGTGCCGTCCTCCCCCTCTCCTTTTGCAAAGAGTATTTTTCTAACGCCTGTGCCGGGCACCACAGTCATTTCTAAAACTATTTTGGTACTTGCTCCTGGGCCAGCACCCCCTTAAACCCCCTGCTGTGTGCAAGTGTGTGTGTAAGAGCTCCACTCGGCAACCAGGACTGAGGCCTGGCTGTGTGTGCGTGTGTATGTGTGTGTGTGTGTGGGGGGGTTAGGATGGGTTTCCTGTAGATTGTACTCTAGGGGACTTTTTTTCTGTCATTTTTGTTAAAATTAGTGTTTTAAAATTAAAAATACTGATTTTTAATATTGAAAATAAAAGCATTTAATATCTCTTAAAGGGCAGCCACACCTGCTTTATCCCTGGCAGAAGAGGGGGAGTCACACGTGAGCTCAGAGTGGAGGGAGACTGCTTTGCCAGACCTCTGGAGACACTGGTCAGGATCACCACACTGGTGGTGCAGAAGCATTTATCTTTCCATAGGGGTGGAGTGCAGTGGCAGTGGCCTTAGGCCAGGGCCTGGCGGAAGGTGCTCCAGGCGTGGAAGCAGCGGGTGAAGGCGTGCTGCTCGTTGCCCTTGCGCACGAGGCGCAGGCGGCGGGGCCGCTCGTGCTCCTTAGAGCGCATGTGCTGGATGTACACCTGGGGGACGGGCAGGGTGTTGGTGAGGGCGGCCCCAGCCTCGGCCCCTCCCCCAGGCCCAGCCTCGGCCCCTCCCTGCTCACCTGGCAGGCCTTCAGGCTCAGCTTGATCTCCACCTGGCTGGTCTGGGACCCCACCCACATGTAGACCTGTGGGGACAGCAGGGGACATGGTCTCCCAGCCTCAGAATGCCTCTTTAGGGACAGTTGGGCTCCCAGCGTGGGCAGGGTTGGGGGGTCTCACCTCTTGGCCGTTGTCTAAGAGCATGATGTCGTCATCTGCCAGGTCATCTTGGCAGAAGTCAGAGCACTTCTCAGTCACCGCGAAGTAACCCTTCTCGTTGGAGCATCTGGGGAGGTCAAGGGTCAGGGAGAGGCTGAGGGTCATGGCAGCAGAGCCAGGACAAAGGAGGGCCAGGGAGCGGTGGCGGGGCGACCTCACCGGAAGAGCCGCGTGTGCTTCATGTACTCGGCGTCGTCGTCATAGGGCTTTTGTGCACCGATGCCCACCCAGAAGAAGTTCTCGGGCTCCTCGCCCTCATTGATGACCTGGGGGTAGAAGGCTGGTCAGCTCAGGGCCCACTGCTTGCCCCCACCTGGTCACCACCCCCTGCCTGGCCCCCCGATCCCCCATCACCTGACCACCCGCCCCAACCCCAGTCACCTGCTTGCTGTAGGAGGCCTCGAACATGCTGTTCAGGATGTCCTCTGCCAGCTTGGCCTCGTCGGGGTCCGAAGCCCGGCCCACCCACGCATACACAATTCCCTGGTTGTCCTCACTCTCAAAGGGAACCTGGGTGTGTCAGGAGGTCAGGTCAGGCCCACCCTGCTCCCCACCCTGCCCCTCGGTCCCAGCCACTCGAGACCCAACCTTGAGAATGAAGCAGAACTCCGAGTTGAGGAGGCTGGAGTCGGTGTTGATTTGGATGCACCTGGGAGAGGGGAGGGGAAAGTGAGGGAGGGGTCAGCAAGGAGTAGCCAGGCCCATCCCCTGCACACACGCGCCCCGCCCCGCAGCCAGGCACCGGGTGCAGAGGGCGCTGCCGTTGGTGCGGATCTGGTACAGGCTGGGCTGCAGGGCGCCCTGGGCAGCCTTCCTCTTGCCCCGGTGGATAATGAACTTCCTCTTAAAATGGGACAGGAACTTGGGGTTCTCCTGCTGCTGCGTCATGCGCACCACCTGCAGGTGTGGAAGCGTCAGGGGCAGCTCCCTGGACCCCCACCCTGCTCCCAGTGGGGCAAGCCTCCCCAGGAACGCCACCCCAACCCTGCTACGGCTCTGGGGCAGGGCCCCCACACCTCCAGCTTGCCAGGGAAGAGGCTCTCAAACTTCTTCTGCAGGCTGAAGGTGAAGGTCAGCCAGCCCATGTTGGAGGCCTCGCGTCCCTGCCAGAAGTACACGATGCACTGGAAGTCCTCCTCAGGCTGCTTCTCCTCCACCTCGGCTGCTGCCTCCTCACCCTCCTTGTCCTCGGCCCCCGCCTTCTCCTCCTTCTTCTCCTCCTCCTCGTACTCCACGGGGACCCAGTACCTGCAAGGTCATAAGGCGGTGGGCAGGGCTGAACCAAGGCCCCAGCACTGGGGGAGGGCCGGGTAAGGGGGGGTGCAGGGGACCTGCAGAGGAAGACATAGCAATCCTGCGTGTAGAAGTGGCCGAACTCCTCCTCGGGCAGCCGAGCGAACTTCTTGCCCTCGAGCACGAAGCCCTCCATGCCGTCCAGGTCCTCATTCCACTCCTCCATCAGCTGCTCGGCCTGCGTACGACCCCGCCCGTCACGGTGGGACCGCACAGCCGGCCCTCCCGCCCTGCGGCCCGGGGCTCGCGCCCACCTCGGCCAGAGCCATGGGTGGCTGCCGCGGCAGGAAGAGGGCTGTAAGGTCTGCCTTCATCTGGTCCTTCTTCTCGGCGTCGCGCTTCACCTTCCCCGCGAGCCCTGGCCCCTGCAGCATGGCCTCTGCGTTGCGCGTGTAGTCTACACTCAACACGTCGTCCCAGTTCTTGAACTTGGCCTTGAACACCTGAGAAATCACAGCCGGAGGAGGCGGGGTCTGCGAAGCAGGGCGGGGCCTGGGAACTGGAATGGGGCGGGACCGGGAGGGGCAGGCTGGAGGGGTGTGGCCTAGGAGTGGGAGGGGCGGGTAGGAACAGGGCTGGGCTGGCAGCAGTCCTGGAAGCTGTGCAGGGCTGTATGTAGTCTGTAACCCGTTCATGGGGCGTCAGGGCAAGAACACGGTTGCAGGACCTCGGGGAGGAAGCCTCCGAGGGTGGCTGCATTCATCCGCACCTGTGCCTCGGTGCCCTCGAGGCTCCGGCTGACCATGGCGTGGCGTGGTCGGTGGAGCATCCCGCACAGCTCCTGGCCCAGCTTGAGGGCTGCGGCACGCACCAGGCGTGGGGACTTGCGGCCAAGCCAGATGAACACATCAGACCAACAGTCCAGGATGTACACGCAGCGAGTGTCCAGCAGGCTCTGCAGCTGCGGGGCCCCAGAGGCTGGAGGTCAAGGCCAGGGTCAGCCAGCAGGGAGGGATCTTGGCCCAGGGGCCCTCTTCCCTGTGTCTCACCAGTCGCATCCGAGGCATCAATTCCACTTTGGGCCGCTTCTTATGTTCCACGGAGAGCTTGTAGTTGATCTGTGGCAGCTCCAGGTAGCCCAGGCCCAGGCCCACCTGGAGCAAGAGGTGGGTTTAACTAGGGTGGGTCTGGGGAACAAAAGACCAACCCACAGCAGCCCCTGGTCAGGCTGGCCACTGTGTTCAAGTCCACAGCCTGCTCCTCTCCAGACTAGTCTCCCTGTACCCCAACCTCCTTTCCAGGAAATCCTACCGGCAGAAGGGTTGTTAAACCTGCCTTCCCTCTCTGGGTCCTTATGGATTTTCTAACTGGTCCTTTTCCCACCCACAACACCCCCATCTTCCTGTCACCCGCAGAGTCAAGACCAGGTCCTCAGGCCAGGCACCCATGTGCTTCTCGGCCTTCCTCTCCAGTCCCACCTTCCTGGAACCACAGAGCCTGATGCTACTTTCCAGGGCCCCACTCAGACCCTGGCATTTCCTGCCCAGGAGGTGGCACCCTCTCCCACCAAAGTCCAGAATGAGACCACAGCCACCACAGTGGTGCCAAGGCCCACCCATATCCTGACTGACCACTGGTGAAGCTCACCTTATACAGTTTGGGCTGGGGTGGCCAAAAGTCATCAGGGACATGCTTCTTGATTTCAGAGGGCTCCCCACCCAGTGCTTCCCAGAACTCTGGGGGCTCCTGGCCGTGTACCAGCAGCAAGATCTCTGCCTTCCCTTTTCGCTCATTCTTGTTAATTTTCTCTGCAAAGAGCCTGAGAGCAGATGCAAAGCCTTAGTGAGGCCCATACCTCCTCAGGTGACCATGTTCCTTTGCACGAAGCACCCAGGATGTCTGGGCAGGGTGCAGTCCTCTTACCTGGCCTTGGTAGTGCTGCTCAGCGTGGCCTGGGCCCCTCGCCACACGTAGATGTTCAGCCCTCTGTCCAGCAGGAAAACAAACCTGGACAGAAGGGGTGGGAGGGGCTGCAATGGGCCACATGCAATAATTCCCCCAGTGCCTCTGACCTCACCCCAAATCCCTCCTTGCTGGTCTCCTGCCGAGCAATGTGGGACAAGGGCTGAGCGGCCTCTTGTCTAGAGCCCAGCTCTGTACCCCCACACTGGTGGGGAGAAGGTACAGGGTCAAGCACGCCACCTCACATCATGGGGCTCACCTTGGGTCCAGGGAGGCCCCCTTGAGAGGCACTGGCTCCAGCTTGATGTTCTTCTTCCCATACACGCGGTACATCCTAGGGGCCAGAGCAAGAGTGGCTTGGGGAGGCACCAAGGGCAGATTTACCCCAATGCCCTCCCCCTTCCTTCCCGACTAAGTCCAGGTCGCTGCTGCTCACACACAAGCCTCACCTGGTCACGTAGTGCATGTCCTCCACAGTGTAGAAGCCACTGGCTGTTCCACCCTCGATGTAGGAGATGTCGTTGTCAAATACCTGTGAGAGGGCATATGACCTTTCACTGAGCTGCCCCTCTACCCCCACCAAATACCACCTGTCAGGAGAAGCAGAGTTGTGTACAGATGGATCAGATGCTATGAATCCATGCCAATGTTAAAAAATATAAGATCTATGCCTGCAGACAAAAACACACTTGGGGTGTAAGTATACACACAACCATGAACCCGTCTGCTCCCGTGCAAGACACAGCATGGTAAGATACAAGTGTATCAGGCGACAGGACGAAGCAGGTTTATAGAACATGGCAAACTTAGGTAAAAGTACCCAAAATCTTGTGTAGGTGTATGCATGTAACCAGCTGGTGGCAGGCCAGCATCTCTCACTGACCCAGGTCGCTGGATGACTCTGGCCCTGCCCTTGGCCCCACCTCCTTGGTAGCCAGTCCCTTTGCAACTCTTACTTCAACTTCCTGTCTCTCCTGGCTACACCTCCACCAAGCGGACTCCCAAACTAGCCTGGCCCCCTCATCTTCACCTGACCCAACTCCCAACCGGTGGTCTCATGTCACTCCTCTGACCTCACCCCATCTGTCCCTGCACTGGACACATCCCTGTCAGCTCCGCCCCGGCCCCGCACCTGCAGGAACTCCTCGCTCTCGTCGCCCATCTCCTCGCGCACCGTGCGGCACTCGGCACCCAGGTAGTTGCGCAGGTTGACGGCATGGATGGCAGAG